AAAAATAAAATAATGATGGGGTATTTATAGTTGAAAATAGGAAAAAAGTGTAATTATAAAAAGTTTGGGATTAAAACAAAGTTGAGGGGTTAAATGGCTATTTCATAAATAGCCAACGGCTATTTTTGACAGCCCAACGGCTATTTTTTTTTTAAAAAAAATAGCCGTTGGGCCCGCTAGGCCTGCTAAGGGACTGGGCCGGTCCCGGGCCTGATGAGCCCAAATTATAGGACCGCCCCACGAGACCGGACCAGGCCCGCTAAAATCGGACCAAACAATCCTGACCCGTTTGCCCCGCGGTCCCGGACCTGGACCGGCCCACTTGCCAGCCTTACCCCGTAAACAAGTTTGAAGTAGTATTACTATTACCTTTTGAGGCCAACCTCAGTGGAAAAGTGTAATTATGGACCAGTAAATTACTGACACATGTTATTAAAAAAAGTGTACCACTTCAAGAAATAATTAGGTATTCTCCCTAAATATTATAATTACTTATTGTTATTGTAAGTCATGGTGTAAGAAAACATACACTATCGGTGCACATAAATTGAACTCAAATCAAATTACATCATACGATAGGAGTAAACCAATGAGAACAAGTGGTGCGAACACTTTCAGTCAAATAAGGCTGTGTGGTTGGAATTGGTTAAATTTCATTATATGGTTATTTTAGTTAGGCACTTGCACTATGCGAGGTAGTTCGGGCAGAATGTAGTCCAGTTATGGAAATTTCATTAGAAGATATAAGTTAGGCATTTGCACTATGAGTGCAGAGCTGTAGTGTAGTATTAGCCGTAACTGATGATCTCTATTCATTTCAAAAATAAAATTACTTACACCAAATCACATTAAATTATAGTCAAATGATAAATTGACGTTAGAAGTGTGTATAAATAAAACATATTATGTATTTAGTATTCATTAGTTTGGTATAAATATATAATGTTATGCGCTGGTTTGAAAGTTGCTTGCTTCCCTTGTAACAACTTTCTATTACAGTTCCGTGCACTCTTTATAGTTCCGTGCACTCGTTATATATGTATAGCAGATGAGGATGCTACTTTATTGTAATTCTCGTTGTTGACTTTCTTCAAATTCTTGGATGAGTATTTCCTCCCCTTTAAGCATGGCCTTCTCTTCTTGTTTTTGCCACTTTTTGATCTCACACAAGGTATGCTGCTTGTAACTTTATATCTAATTATATGACCATCTTTTGTTAAGTAATATCTAATTTCTGCTTTGGATCCCGTCTGATTCAATTCATATTATTTAAGAAAAAAAATGCTCATTTCTTGACCTCGAATCTGAGACCTCTGGTTAAGGAGAAGGGATTCTCTTTGTCCCACCATAATCTTTAGTGATAATATTTGTGAGTAAATTGGTGTTTTTGTTGCACAAAGTCCCTTGGGATTTTTAAGCTTCAGCATTTTTTTTCTAATTGGATATTTTAATTTTGTCTAGTTGTTCTACTATGAGAGATTATCATTTATTAGTTCAGTTTAAAATAGATCCAAAGTTGCAGCTTTGGGTTGATGTCTTTCACGATTATCATTTTTTATTAGTTTCGGCCTTTCAGGACACGCGTATTGCAGTGTATTCCATATCAACAACTCTAAATTTATAATAAAAAATATATAATTTACGCGAATATACATATATCGTAGCCGATGGTCTATCGAAAACAACCTCTCTGCCTCCACGAGATTTAGAACTATTGAACTTCTTTACCCATTTAAGCTTGAACTTCTACAGCTTTTGGGGCAGATTCACCTTCTTTTTTTTACCACTTATGAATAATTAAATCAAGAATGATTCTATACTTAGCTGCAGAGGAACAATGCTGCATCTTTTGCTCTTGGACCAGTGAACTCTGATCTTTCACGTCAAGAAGTTAAGGAATTAGGAAGCAAACTAAGCACTGGTTGGAGTTTTCTGGGAGGATCAAGAATCGTTATTCGTCCAAATCTTACAAGAAATCTTCTGCAAAGAAAGAGCTCAATGGTGTCTGCCTCATGTAATTATTTTCCTCCATATCATGCTCCATATAGTTTTAAATGTGTGCTAATTAATGAAAAAATTAGTTTAAACGTATGATGTGCAGTATAATCCTAGTTGGGATTTGCAGTCTCAGTTATTGCTTCTTTGATTCTTTAAAGAACTTGTTAAAGACTCAATTTTTTTCTTTTGCAGCAATGTAATCAGACTTTTGGGATAATATGTAGGCGTTTGAACATAAAAATTGTGATTTTTGAAAAAAATAAATATCTGAAGTTAAGTTGAAAAATCGTATCTGAAATTTAAAATTATGTTTGAACATGCAATTCAATTGAAAAAAAGGGTGAAGTTATGTAAGTAGGGTTGAAAAAGTGGTTTTTGGTTTGAAAAACTCATTTTCAAAAAATCTCCAAAAACTTACAAAATTTCATGAACAAACACATTTTTGACAAAAATTCTGAAAAAAAGAAAAAAATCTATGGACAAACGGGTCCTAATTGTTTATGCTATGTCTTTTGCAGGGTTGGAAAGTTCTCAAATTGCTACTAGTGTATTCCCATTGGGAACATTAGCAGTTCTTCCCTTTTATTTCTTCATGATTGTGGCACCTAAAGCTGCACTTGTAAGTTTTCTGAATTATTGTCGACCTAAATTAACCTGTTTTACTATTTACCAGTTTCTGTCATAAATATCATGAATAAAAGTAAATTGCTAGGTCACAAGTTCTCTCACCATCTTTTTCTACTTTCCTCATGTTATGTGATCACTGTATGATTTCAATCTATGTATTGATGGGTTAATTTCATGGGGTCGCCGCTCAATTTTTACTTTATTGCAACAAAGTTACTGTACTGTTTTGTAACAAAAGAGTCACTCAACTTCGTTTAAGTATCATGAAAGTCATTACACTATTTTTGTAACGAACAAATCACTCAACTTTGATCAAGTATCAAAGAAAGTCAGCAGGAGAAAATAAAGGAGTATTTTTTTATATATATTTAGGCAAAGTTTATTGGTTTTGAGGTTCTGATTTTGGATGAGGTAGCTTGTCCGAGAACATGAAGTCTGAAAATTCATTGCTTCACTTGCAATTAGTTAAGTTGTGAAAATTCATAATGCCAATTGCAGACCCAAAAAATGATGGAGAGCAGCATACCTTATATTGTGCTTGGACTTCTTTATGTATATCTCTTGTACCTCTCATGGACACCAGATACAATGCAACTATTATTTCCTAATAAATATTGGCTTCCAGAGGTATTTGCTCAACTACACACTCCCTCTTTTCCATTTTATATATAATACTCCTTTTTTTCGAAAATAAGACTCCTTTCTGTATGTTGAAATATTTAACTTTAAACTACTTATTTTATCCATAGTAATATGCTCTTAGGAGTCGTTTGGTAAGTGGGAGGGACAATAATCTCGAGATTAGATATGAGATTATTTTATCTCAAGTTTGATTGAATTTTCGAATTCGGGATTAGCTATCCCGGATTAATTTATACCATATTGTGATATTATTCTATGAGAGTGGTAATAATCCTGAGATTATTTAATCACGGGATAAAACACTACAATGACAAAAATATCCTTTTTCAAGGCTCTTCTCCATTGAAAATAAAAGTTGATCCCAATCTATCTACTATACATCAAATACATATTTTATATTATACCCCGTATGTCCCATTTTAAGTCTAATACACCAAACATCTCTCAGTAAAAATATATCAACTAAATAATCTCATCACTATTTAATCCCCGTTTATAATCCTGTTTGTTCCCCTACCAAACGACTCCTTATAGCCATTGGTATTGCACATTTAAAATTACGAGTTTCTAGAGATACTTTTGTATGTTAGAAAAAGTTTATCTTTTTTTTAAATTTTGTACCTAATCAAATTAAATTGAACATATGAAGTAATAATTTATATGAAATGATACTAACATTTGTTGTCATTCAGCTGTGTGGTATTGCTGAGATGTTCTCCAGGGTGATGACTTTAGCTTCTGCATGGATTCACCTCTTGGCTGTTGATCTTTTTGCTGCTAGGTTGGTCTCTCTTTGTCACACAGTTGTGTGTGTATTTGTGTCCATATATTGACAATAACAAAAAATATTAACACTGTCAAACCATTTTAAAAATAATTACAACTATCATATTTAAGTGATTAGTTACCTAGAAAATAGTGTTTCAAAAGGCGGGAGCAATGAGGCGGGACGTTTTACCTACTATGAGGCGAGACGTAAGCCCCGAGGCATGGGGCGAAAGTCTCATAAATCTTTATAATTTTTAATTTATAAATTAATAAAGCATAATAACATAAAATATAGAAAGTATATTAAAAGTTTAAGAAAATTATAAATGACTAAAAATCTCAGAGAGAATAAAATATCTAGCATGTTTTACCAGTAGAAACAATCAATAATGTTAATATTACTACTAAATACAAATTAATTAGAACGTCTTAACTTTTAAATAATAAAAAAATATAATAAGAAAATCACAATTTCTTCATAAATATTATTAAACTAAATATTTTATCTTCCTAAAAGTAAATAATTAATAAACTTCACCAGTACTGCAATTTAAAATATTACTCCTTCATGAGTAAATACAAAAATACTTTCAAATGATAAAATATGAAAAGTTTGATAATTTTGAGAGTAGTAGAACTAACACATGAACAGGGGTGGCCCAACGGTGTTGGGGGCCTAAAGCCAAACTTCAAGGAGGGGATCGGAGTTTTTCGGTATAAAAAACTCATTTAGTAAAATTTTATTTAAAGTTTATCTTTCTAATTTTTTGAGATGTAAAATTATTAATAATTTATTTATAATCGATTTCTTGACTAGGATTATATACGTTTTCACTTTCTAGGATTATTATTCAATTCTTTTAGGATTTCCTGATTTTCTAAAAAATCTGTGACTCACCAATTTCTTCTTCTTCTGGGATTCCATTGTCGTCTAACTCAACTATATTAGTGATTTGTTCATCTACCACAAAATTTTCCCTAATTTTTTATTTAAAATTTTTATTGTTCGCCAAAAAATTATCAAACGCTCCTTTTTGGGATTGTATTAAAGTTCCAATTCTTCCATTTTTTGGCATTTTTAATACGTGGATTCATATTTTCTTGTTGACATATTAAAATTCATAATAAATAAATAAAAAGATGATACATACACTTACAAACAAAAGATATCAAAAAATAACAAATTCTAGATGCAAAGTAATAAGAAAAGTACGGAACAATTGAACCTGGTTTAACAAACAGTTACAGATAACTTGATATTACTTTTGTTGCTTCAATATTTTTGGTATAATGCCGAGAAAACTTGACAAAAAAGGGTTGCAATTGCCTTTTGCTATCTTACTTGACGGAATGTTTTATGAGATTGTGGACTTGTAAAGAAAGACAAAGTAATCAAAGTAATATGGGCCTCATGATAATGATAATAGTGTATAAAGGAGTCAAGAAACATATTCACACCTAAAATTTAGGACTGAATCCCAAAAGTAACTATTTATATTACCAAATTATCTCTTATTTCCTTTTTCATGAAAAATGCATTTTTGTTTTGATATATTAGATATTTTTTTAAAAAAAATTATCACATGCAGCTATTTAATATTAAAAAAATTTGGGCCCCATAGATATGGGGCCTCAAGCGGTTGCTTGAGTTGCCTTACCATCGGGCTGCCCCTGCACATGAAGGTCAATAGCAAGTGAAGATATATATTTTGGTTATCTATTTTAGAAAAAAGTTCAAATTATATTCACCTTCACGTTGTTTTCAATTAGTAAATATGCAATATTATGACTCGTTATTGGAGTTACTTTCAATCTTCATATTCCTATAGATGAATAAAAGCTTAATCATTCATTTGTTAAAATATTTGAGGGTCAATAGTGCTAATTAGGAAATTTGACACATGATTTGAGTAATAATTGTTGGGCGATTTCCGAGTGTTGGGCGTTATGCGTGTTTAGGACGCACAATCGTGCGCTTGAGGCGTAAGCCTCGCAGAACTAAGTTCCCCCACATGAGTTTTATGGCGTTTTGATAGCGCCTCGCCTCGGGATAAGTCTCAGGCGAGTCCCAAAAAGCCTTTAAAAACGCTGCTAGAAAACAAGACTGACAATCTATTACAACATGTCACATAAGACTGTTAATGTATAAATTCTGGTCTGTCAGTATATATAAGTCGAATCGTTTTTTTTTTTGGGACAAGGAAGAATGATGCCTTATTAAAACTCTTAATTATTACTCCATTAATTTTTTTATGTGGAACAGGCAGATTTATCATGATGGATTGCAGAATGATATTGAAACTCGCCATTCTGTGTCATTATGCTTGCTGTCTTGCCCTATTGGACTTGTTTCACATTTCATCACCAAAGCTCTATTCAGTAGACGTGACATATAATTTTATTAACTCAGGATTGCAATTTGACTTTGTTCAGCAAACTATCAGCAGTTTAAATAGGTTTTCATTTAATGAAAGGTGACTTTCTAAGTTTGTATTGATGTGATGTAACATTAAGGCATATTTAGTACCAATTTTTACAATTATTCATTCATCAAATCTGATGTCAGGCTAATCTTAACTAAAAAGAGACGGCTAAAACTTGTGTTTTGTCATTTTTTTTAAAACAAACTAAAAGAAAAAAGTATTACATAAATTAATGAAACAGACACATCAAATAATAAAAAAGAATTGGTTGCAAGAGAGAAAAGACTTTGATTATCAAGTTTAAGTTATGTTCGTTGGAAAACTTGTGGGAATGAGAAAAAAAATTTCAAGTTAATTGTAAAGGAATAGTGGTATTGCATCTAGTTATGGACAATATAAGGAAGCAAACAGTACTCTAGCTATCAAATTTGTTTCAACTTCTAAACCATGGATATTAGGAAAAACAAGAAACAAAAAAAAATTACATAAACGAATTNAATGCAAATGGTCCACACATTCACCAGAAGCATCCTCATCCCAACCACTTCCAGATGATGAAAAGTTATTCAATCATTCATTCACTTCCCAAAAATTTATTGTAGTTCATTTTTAGGGGTTGCCTTATCTATTACTTCTAGCTAATTTAGCAAAGGACAAATTTGGCATTGTTTCGAGGCAATATCTATTACTATTGAAATATCTCCAACTTTTTCTAGGCAACAGTTGTAGAAACAAAGGATAAGATTTCATTTTGGGTGTTTGATCATCATTTCACCTGCAAATACTTGAGTCAATTTACAAAATGAGGTTTGGTTATAAAATTTGAGTTTTAAGTGAGAAATCAAAAGTGATTCGACTGTGTATTTCAAGTGTAGTTTTTCAAATCTTCAACATCCACACCAAAACTTTCGACTTTCACGAACCTCTACATTCCAATGAAACAGACTGTAAATAGTTAGATGTGTGTTAATACCGAGCTTTAAAGGTTCTCATATCATTATGTTTCTGGAATAATTCCAACTTCATGACATTCAACTCTTCGAAGAAAAGCTGTGTCCCAACTAGTGTTACTTATGTGAAGATATCTATAAAATGGAAGTATGTACTTTACTTCAAAATTTGATCTTCATTAGGTGGTGAGTAAGCACGCCTTATGACGAAGGGAGAGCATCAGACCCGATCAAGATAGCGGTCTGCCATCTAATAGAGGGTGATATGGAAGAAATTAGGCACTGAACTGAGGTTTAGTAGTGCTTATCACTCAGGACGGCCGGAGTCCGGTCGTCGGTTTACTGGAAGACTTGCTGAAGGGCTTAGTGCAAGGGAGACCAAGCAAGGGGATAGGCGAAGTGGTGATGGTAAGAGGACTAACAATAAGGGGGAAGCGCAGTGATCAAAGCTTTGGTTTAGGGTTGGTTTAAACGAAAGAAGAGATCTTTCTAGCAAAATCCACCAAATTATGTGAACATTCTTACATTACAGTAATAGATATGTGAGGCACATCAAAATTTCTTCATCAAGCCTTTAGAAACAGAAACCACCAAGATAAAGCATATATTCGGGGAGAAAATGAAACTCGATCACCACTTCCTATTCCAAATTTCACATATATACAATACTACAAGTTTTCAAATTGTCAAAAATTTGTGGCACCAAAATCAATCGAGAGCATTTACAGACAGCACAAAAACAAAACTAACTCTCAACCACCTTATTTCAATAAATGTGCAACAGCCACATCGTTGCACAATAATATTAACGAAAAACCAGAACTTTCCCCTCTAACAAATTGCTAATAAATTCTCCAAAATCTTGTTCTTATTTTCTAGATATTCTATATACATTGTTGAGCTGTTGTCTTTATATACTTCTCGGTAAGGAAGATTTTTAAGCCGTAGCAGCCATGCGAGAGTTTTGGCAGTCAAAGCCCTCTACTCTATTTGGTGATTGAGTTTGCCCAAGTCTTGCCCTTGAACACCTTCCTTTAAAACTTGATGATGGAGAAGATGAAGCTGAAGTCAATGTACTTGGTGATGATGAAAAACGGGGTTGCTTTTCATTTGTAAAGCGAGCATCAGGGATTAATGGATTCATAGCCCTGCAAGGCGGTGAACCAGAGAAGAAAGGAGGGGATGACGACAAATCAGATGTGTATTGTGTTGCAGCTATGCCATCCTGTTAGAGCATGAAGATCATTTTAAGAAATGGCAGGTTGAATCAGTGGAATGTTTTATTAACCTTGCTCTTAAACAGTCAGCACATTTTGAAACAGACCGACAAACGATACAGCTATGCATGTACATAAGTCACACAGGTAAATTGACAGTTGAATATGATCACTAGAGCAGTACAAAAAACAAAATACTGTCCAAATTAATTAAACCAATATGCTAAAGATAGCATCATATCACTACATAAGCCATATTAGTTAAGTGCATCTCGCAAGCTTGCATTTCCAGAATATCATTAGACGACACAGAAAAGAACAAATAACCAGCAAATACAATCCTCTACCTTCTGCAATTGATGTAAGCTAAAAAATGACTTGAACTGAACATCTATTGACCTTTCTGTTTTTCTCTTCACCTAGCCTACTCAAGAATATGTGGCATGGGAATAAATCGTTGTACGCCCTAGAAGAAAATTCATGCTTTGGGAATGAATTATGCTTCATTAAGAATTTCTACAAAACCATAATTGTGTTTCCATAAGGCTCCTTTTAGAAATATTTTGCTAAGGCAAATTTAGGATTCTCAAAAGAGCTCCATAATAGGAAAGTTAAAAGGATTATAAAGTAAAAACAAAAAGTATGGACCGATGAGGCCAGGCTTAGCTGGCTGATAGAATATTGACATGTATTAAGGAATGGAGAGAGACAGCAAGATAGGGACATTGCAATTATGCCAATTATCATTTGATTGGACTCTCAACTACCCTGAACTTTCAATTTGTCTCATGAAAACCCATACTACCTACTCCTATGGATTGAATATTTTCTGTCCACTGATTATCTTTACACCTTAAAATCACTTAAGCATCAAAGCTATTTCTTGCCTTATGTAGTTTTTAATTCTACACTCTCCGATGATGAGGATGCTTTTCATACTGACGATATGCAAAAAGTCCAAGATATTTGCGATTATAATGATTCATGCGACGCCAACTAACTCATACAATGTGCAGCGTTTATCATGTAAACACCCTTCATGTATACATTGCTATAGATTCTGAAGCTTTGACAAACAACAAATGTTGACATAATTGCATGCAGAAAAGCTATAAATGATAAGTTTCATCCCTTAGTAGTTATGTCAATTCTTGTAAAAAAACTAGAGGCGAGTCAGAATTTCAACCATATGGGTTCTGTATTTTAGAAAGATGGCTTTAATTATTAATAATTGGGTTCTAAATTTAATATTTATACATATTTAATGAATTTTTTAACACAAATATGTTGTTTGAACAAAAGCTATTGCGTTCGTCCGAACCCGTAACCAAGCTACTAGCTTAGTAGCTCTGCCCCTAGTGAAAACAATATAGTTCTAATCAATTAACTTAGCCCTAATCCGAAACTAGTTCGGAATTAGCTACATGAATCCTCTATATCCATTATGATATATATCATGTTGAATCTAAAGGTGTGCACGTCATGGCGGATTCAATATTCAAAGTTAAGACTATTTCTACATTGACCGTCAACCTACCACAACCCCCTTATTAAAAAATCTTCCTTTTTTGTTTTGACAACATGTCCCATATTCATCCATAAAGAGAAAAACAAAGCAAACGAAAACAGAGTAAAGGAGCGAGTCCATTATCCACAGAGTTTTGAAGCCCTACCTCTTTGAAAATGAGATCAATAAGTTAAGCTCCACCTTTTGAAACAAAGGCCGCAGCTTGATTTCTT